CGCAGTTATCTTCCGCAGTAAGTTTAAGAAAAATCATGTATATGTATATATGATTTAAAGGTTTCAAGCATGTATGTTTAAAAAGTATAGGTACATATGTATGTTAAGGAAACCGAGGTTGTAGCTAACAACCCTCGTTTTTGAGTATTTAAGTTTTAGAACGTTGCAACAGAGTATGCAACAAATAAATAAATTTTAAACATGACGATTTAAATGATTGATTTTAAAAGGGCTTTAAGATGTACTTGAATTTAAGATTTCTCACGAAATCCGTTTTAAAGTCAAAATTAAATGGCTCGATTGAATTGGCTAGTTTTAGAAAGGCTTTTAAAGAGCATTTGAAATAAGAGTTCAAATGCTGCTCTGTTTGAAAGATATTTTTAGAACGTTTTATCTTAACTGAAATTAAGAAAAGCTTTAAGAAATTTAGTGATTCACTTATTTGAAATTATTGTTACAAATTATGAAAGTATTCTTTCTTATATTAAAAAAAAATGTTCCGCAAATTTTAAGAAACCCCAGTAAGTACAAGTTAAAAAGTTAGTAACAGTGGCGGCCTCAAAGGAGGGTCGTCACAGTTTTTTCCCCCTATCACTAAAATATCAGTATTTCATTACAAGTAGAATAAATACAATGGACAATTCTCGCCAACATGCTAGGCGCGAGGCTCCATTCGTTTAGCTAATCCGAGTTAAAAAGTGAATTTATGAGAGAGAAAACACTGCAGTTCAAAAAATTAATTTTGAAATTCTATGAAAGAAAATACTATAACAAAAATTTGAATTAATTATATATAATTATAGTCATGAGTATTTAGGAAAAAAAGATTCTCAAATTGACGTCTGACTATACATTAAAATGTCAATTTGTAGATGTAAAAAGTGCAGGAAATTGGGTAATCTAAATAAATATTTTTTAAAAGTGCGTGAGTCATAATTTTTATTTTTTACTCTTAATTTATAATCTTTTTAATTAAATAATTACATTAATAAAAGAATATTTATTAAAAATAAAAAGTAAAAATTTAGACTCAAAATATACTCGGAAGGATAAATTCTCCATTTTTTTGAGAAAAAAATTGTTAAATCACGAAGAAGCCCACCCCTTGGCCCAGTCAAAAACACGCAACCATCTCCCAGGAAGCGTTCTCCTCCAGGAAAAAGTGCGTGACAACATTGCAATACTTCCAATTTGTTTTTGTTGAATATGTTATTGTTGAGATTTTTTTTAATATATAATTGTTGAGGTTATTTTTTTTTTTTTTGTTGAATATGTAATTATTGGTTTGATTTGCAGGGACGACTTTCTCTCTCTCCCTCCCTCCTTATAATAGTAGCGATACTCTGTTCATTAATATGCATTTTTTTTTTTGAAAAAAAAGAAGTGGCAGTAATCAGTATTAGTATTTGATCAGGTACGGTACTTGAAACACATACGTGACGTTTAGTTCATAGATTTAAAATTATTTTTAATTTGTATGTGTTTTTTATAAAAAATAATACTGTAATGAACCATGAATCATAAAATGAAATGAATTTACTAAATAAACGCACAAATAATTCTAATACGGGCCAAAATGCTACAGAACAAAACAGAAGAATATATAATAAGCAACTCTTCCACCAAAAGTTACAACTGAACCGGAAGAAAAAGAGGAATCTAGGACTATACATCAGTCCGTGTTTCTGGTTTTCCATCGGTTTACCGTCCGAAACTGACTTTTTGGTTTAAAAAAAATCAAGAAACCGAAAACCGACCAATTATGTTAGAACCGACCGATTATGTTGGAACCGACAAATCACGACTAAACATTTTTCTGAGGCTGTTTCTACGTGATTTGAGAATTTAAAATCTGCACCGTATTTAATGCAATTATGCAGACTCAAAAAGAAACTATCAAACTATTGAACAAAAGTTACAAAGCACAACTTCAAAGGTAATGCCACAAAATATCCAACCGAAGTATCAAAAGCAAACACACAACCACAAGCCATGTCAGTCTTATAGATTCACAAGCCACA